GCATTTGGGAAATTAACTTTTGTTCTCAGAAACTCCTCAGAGGATGCTAGAAAAGTTCAGGGAATTCATTCTCTGCTCTTCATTTTCTACTCCCTGTACCTTAAATGCTTCGGGTCTGTCTGTCTAGCAAACGTTTCCCTCAGTTCTCCTTTCTGTGGAAAGAAAGACTGACCCTGTTCTAGTCCCCTGTCACTTCCCTGGTGAGGGAGTCGTTAAGTGATGAGAGGTGGCGATGCTGGTGGTGCGTGGTGAGTCCGGGGGATGGGGCGGAGAGTGGCATTCGGCAGGGCCCTTACAGTCCGAGCAGATCCCAAGTGGGTTACATTCGCTGAGCGCCTCCCGGGTGGGCGGACGCTCAGCAGGTCCTCGTTGTGCACCAGGCTTTCTTACGCGCATCGTTAGCCCACGGGCAGATCTTCAGTTCATGTTGTCTCCCCCCATGTGGTTCTCCACAGTGCCTGGTAGGTGAGTTTTCTGAATCAACTGCTGAGCTATGTACTCCTCAGGAATGTCCTTTTGAGACGTTCAAGGAACCAGGCTAAGACATTCTTACATCTGACCTTCTCTGGGAGAAATACAAGAATTAATCTGAGTGGAAACCAGCTTACACAGAAGGCCAAATTTTGCCGAGAAGCCGTCCTGAACCAAGATTTCTAAGTTTCGTGATCCATTTAACTTTTAGCACACTCTTTACATTTCTTTGCTCATTTTTTAAGACGTTGTTAATGAAATAAAATCCTATTTTCTTAGGGTTACTGAGTGCAAGTCAATCAGTTTTCTGACTACAGTAGGGCTGGGAGATAAATTTAAGAATCACGGCAACAAACTGTACTCAAGGTAAATTAATTCACTAAATCTCTCTTGGATTATGCCTGGAATTATTTTTGGGACTAGATTCCTTTCCCCTATATTTTTTTTCAAAAATTTTTATTAGTCCGTGTTCACAGTGCATAATGATTACATTCCTTGTGTGGAGTCGGTACATGAACATAACACATCTTAATTCTTTATTCATTAATTTCCTCTCACACATCCCCCTCTCCCTCCATCTCTTGGTCCTTTTCCCTTTTTCAAAAGGCCTTTCTTTCTTTCTTTCACTCATTCTTTCTTTCTTTTCTTGCAAAAGGTCTATCTTTCTACTCCCTATTATTTATCCTTTATTTTGCTCTTTATTTATATTTTGGGTTTCTCATATAAGGAACACCACGTGTGTCTGTTTTACTTAACATTATGGTCTCAAGATGTGTCTGTTTTCCTACAAATGACTGAGGTTTGTCCTTCTTTACCTTTGTTCTCTTTATCGAAGACCCCTAGTGTTACTCTGACTTTGAAATAGGTGTAGTAGAGGACGGAGGATTCAGGGATCACAGAAAACCACTTATTAACAGGTCCTATATTCCCAGTTCTGTGCCCGGTGCTATGGAGGATGGGAGACCCTCCAGCTGCCTTTCAGAGCTTACACATCCCTGGAGAGACTGGACAGGACTGTGTAAAACACTTAGATGATGTGCCAGAGCCAGGTTCTCAAGTCTCCAGGGCAAATCTAGCAAACACCTCAGTTTGTCTGACTGCTGTGCTTTTCCAGACCTCTGTGCTCTGAACAGAGTGGGTAGAAATTCCACTGCGGACAAGTTAACACTCACCTTGGACCACCTTATTGTTAATTCCCTCACTCAGTTTTTAAAATCCTACTCCTCTTCTTGGCTTTGCCTTGGCTCTGTGCTTGATTCTCTCCCCTCTTCCCTGTCCCCTCCCTTGAGGGCGGAATTGGGTCAGCACCAGGGAGGGGAGCCCATGAATGCGACAGGCAGAGGAAGGCTTTGGACAGAAGCCCTGAAACCTGGTTATCTTCTTGGCTTTGTACCAAGCAGCTGTGGGGTCCTGGGCCCCAGATTCTTTGCTGTATGATGAGGAGTCCAGGGGCTTCCACAGGGGAAGCTGGAGAGGTCCCTGTAGCTGATTTCTCTGTGGTAGGCTATCTTCAGAGAAAAGGTGAGGGAAAGGCTGTGCCTGAGAAGGTAAATTGGACCAATCGAGCTGTTGAAAAGCTTAGCACACAATGACCGGAAATGTCAAAAGGGGAAACCACAATGTGGGGACTAAATTAATTTGAAAAATTTTATTGGGGTAGCCCAACTTAATCCTCTTTGTTCATTTATACTGTAAGTTTTCTTAACTGCAAACCCTAGACCTGTCTAGTTAACTTACTGTCTGATAAGAACATATACTGTCTTTAAAATCTCTTGCTTTGGCCCTGACAATCAAAAGTCAGAATTAAATTTATTTTAGACACCACAGGCGAAACATCCCCAACACTGCCGGTGGCCCACTGTAAAATTGTAAAATGATCTTTTTTTTTTTTCTGTAAAATTATCTCTGAAACGTTTTCCATTTCTATTTAGGGGATCAATAATTGTTAATCTTCTTATCCTTCTTCCATTCCAGATCCATTTGATTTTTATCTTTTTAAGAAAATGTGACAATCACATTGTATAACTGTGATTATAAAATTTGATATCATATTAAAAACTGAAAATCACATCTTGCTCTGCTAGCCTCCCACATTCTCGGATAATGAAAAAACAGTAACAGCAGCAAGAAATCATTTCTCGGACAACGAAAATACAGTAACAGCAGCAAAAATCATTTCTTAAAGTCTGAAGACTGAAGTGGTCCCTACAAATCCTCTGAGAGAGAACTGACACACCGGATCAGAAGCAGCTGTAGGAACAGACAGCATTTGCTTTCAAGCCAAATTTCACAGAAAATGCTCATCTCTAACAAGAGTTGTTTTCCCTTTGAGAGTAAAGCCTTCCCCTGGCAGAACTCCCGCCTCTGCATAAACATTGTGTGAGAGACACCAGCACATCAGCGAGGAGGGCAGGACAGCAAGCGGAGAGTGTGATGCTTGTCATATAGAATAGGAAACTGCGGCTTAGAGAGGCTTGGACACTTGTTCATGGCCACACCACTCTTACTGGAACTGAGGTCCATATTTTTTTTTTTTTTTTTTTTTTTTGTTTTTTTGGTA